CCCCAAAACCCCAAAACCCCAAAACCCCAATTCCTTCTCCAAATTTTGATATAAATAATAAATTAGACTGATCTCAAAATGAAGTTTTTAGCTCTTCTAAGTGGCGGAAAGGACAGTATTTATGCTGCACTAGAAAGTCTCAAATATGGGCATGAACTTGTCTGCATTGGTAATTTATATCCAGTGCTTCCAGACCTGGAAGAAGAAGAGAAGATAGCAGAAGAATGAAAAGAGCAGTCAACTGATCTTGATTCTTATATGTTCCAAACAGTAGGAGTTGAGATAGTCCCTCTCATTGCTGAATGAATGCAAAAACCATTGATCCGCAAGCCAATTACAGGTGGATCTGTTAATCAAGAATTGTTCTATGATAAAGCTAAAGAAGGAGATGAAGACGAGGTTGAAGATCTTTATGAATTAATTAAAGAAGCGAAAGAAACATATCAAATTGATGCAGTTGCCTCTGGAGCGATTCTTAGCGATTATCAACGTCTTAGAGTCGAAAATATCTGTGACAGATTAGGCCTTGTATCCCTTTCTTATTTGTGGCAGAGGGATCAGGCAGAACTTCTTGATGATATGATAGATAATGAGTTAGATGCAAGATTTGTGAAAATAGCTTGCATCGGACTCAAACCCTCCTTTTTAATGAAATCCATTCAGGAAATGAGAGATGAGCTCCATCAGCTCAAAGACATGTACCAAATTAATGTATGTGGAGAGGGAGGAGAATACGAGTCAATTGTACTTGACTGCCCTTTATTCATTGATCATAAAATAGTTGTGAATGAGTTCAAGATTCTTAATATTAGCGAAGATGAATATGCACCAGTCGCTCATGTAATTATTAAGCAGTTTGCACTAGCTGAAAAAGAAGAAAAAGGAGGTAATATTGAGCTATATGATATTGAGAAAGGTCAAGAATGCCACTGTGCTTGGCCTCAGATGCCAAAAGAAGAAATAATATCTATAGCTACTGAAGAGGTTGACTGTGATCCCATTAAGATTTTATCCTCTGAGATTAATAATAGTTTTTCTACATCTTTATTATCTTTAGACTCTTTTGATGTAGAGATTTGACCTGAACAAATTGAAGACGAGATTAACCTTCTCATGGAGAAATCTGAAGAATTATTAAATGAGAATGGATTGGGATTCAAGAATGTAACCAAAGTTGTGATGTATATAAAGAAGATGTATCATTTTCCTCATATTAACAAAGTATATAAGAAGTACTTTCAATTCAAACCTCCTACTAGAGTTTGTGTTGCTAAGTATATAGACCCAGCTTTCAATATTGTAATTGGATTCCAAGGAGTTTGAGATCCTTCGAATATCAAGACATTACATGTCCAATCAGTATCTAGATGGGCTCCAGCAAATATTGGACCTTATAGCCAAGCCTGAGAAACTGAGTTGCTTACACATTATGCAGGTCAAATAGGGCTTAAGCCTGCCATCATGGCCTTTACAGATTCTTCATCTATCAAACAATTGCAGCAATGCTTTGTGAACTATGAAAAAGTTCTTACAAGAATGCAGAATACATTTGAAGATGTAATTCAATGAATTGTTTATCTCAAGTATGATGGGGCTCATAAGGATAAAATAAAAGAGAAAGTAAACGAGAAATTCCCAAATTGCCCAATAGTCTACATGTGTGCCAAAGAACTTCCTAGAAACGCCGAAGTTGAGCTCTCATTAGTTACAATGAATAAAGACCATGAGAGAAATTTCTCTGTAGAAGATCAGACAACTGAAATCCAAGGAATTTCTACTAACATCCATCACCAGCACCTTGAAGTTAAAGATAAATGAGAAATTGACGTTTATAGTTTTGACTTACCCTCTCCTGACTTCTGCTCAATCCTGTCGTCACTAATCCCGTCCCCATGCACATCTGCCTCTGGGCTTACAACCTTGACAGTATATTACCAAAAAGATCTATGTGATAGCCCCAGAGACTTCAAATGAATGGTCCATGCCTTACTTGAGGAGAGGGGTGATAGGGCTCTTGTCAACTGTGTCCCAGTGGAATGCTTGTGAGGCAATGATGTAGTTGTTTTTAAAAGGAATTTATTGTAGAAATTGGAGATCAAGATGAGGGATTTTTGAGGGGTTTTGGGGTTTTGGGGTTTTGGGGTTTTGGGG